TTCCCTCATTCATAGCCAAAAAATGGGGAGGAAACCAGAAACTGCAGAGCCAAAGGACCAGAGGTGCTGGTGGAGGCTGCAGGTGCTTGCTTGTCACTGAGTCTGCCAGCACTTGTGTCCCAAGCCATGCACAAGCCATGCATGTGGGGGCTGTGCTGAACCCCCTTCCACTCGCACCTGGGTTGGCCTGATTTATGTCTCACCATCCTGCCCAGACGTTCCAGCTCACATTTCCCTGCCTCAGCAGAACACCCGGCCCTGCTTTACTCCCTGCAGAGGCCTCCCCTGCGTGCCGCAGACCCGCCTCGGCACGCGGGGGGATGCATGCCCACACACCATACACATGTTCCTCAGTTGGCAGTGTGTCCTTAGATACATGTCATCTTTATTATTTCTCCTCCTGCGGCTTCCCAGCACACGCTTGCCCTGAGATGCTCTCTGCCCTAATTCCCATGTGGGCAGGGTTCAAATCCAGCTGGCGCCCGGCACCCTCAGTCCCTGCTGAAGCTGCAGGGCTGCCAGTGTGGCACGGGGTCGGTGCTTGGCTCTGCAGCAGATGGTGCCAGGGCTTCCAGCCAGAGCAGTGAGCGCTGACCCAGCCAGCCCCGGCCACGCTGCCCTGCAGGCAGGGCTGTCAGTGCAACCATGCAGGCAGCACGGTGAAGTTGGCCAGGAGGATGAACTTGTCATTGTGCTGGGGACATAAAGCACCTGGGAGTCACCCAGGCTGGGATTTTGGGCCAATCTGGCCAGGAGCAGGCAGTGATGGTGGGGTGTGTTATTGTTCAGAGCACGTGAGCACAGGGACGGTGTGCGTAGGTGCACGTTGGTGTGTGCACGTGAGCGGGTTGGTTATGCCCTGGCTCGCTTTTGGAAGTCAAAAGAGGAGTAAGAGGAGGGGAGTTCAAGGGGTTTATATTTCCTATGCTCTTCTGCAGTGCCCCAGTGAGGACAGATCGGAGGGCAAAACGAAGAGCAAGGTAGGTTTGGGTTGGGGCTGCAGGATGGAGGGAGGGTGGATCAATCCCTTCATGGGGGATGAAGTGAGTTCCATGTCCCAGATTAGCCCCTGTCACCTACTGATGGAGCCCCAGCTCAGGTCTTCCTCATCCCGTTGCTGGAGATGCACTGGTGGGTGGGATGCTGCAGAGCCTGAGAGAAACCTGCCTCTTTGCAAGGTGGAGAGAGGGCTGTAAATGTGGCCCAGAGGATGAAGATGCATGTGCAGACTGGCAGATGCATGGGCAGCACGGTGGGCAGAGCCCCGGTGTGCAGGCAGGGCTCTGACACCCAGGGCACCAGGGGTTGGATACACACTGGGGCTGGGGGCAGGTATAAAGGGCTATGAAATGGGGCTGTGGGGTGGAAAAGCAGAGTTAAAGGGTTGCACCTGAATTTTGTGGGGAAGGAGAGGGTACAAGAGCTGGGCTGTGTTTGTCTTGCGTTAGAGCTATGGCTGGGGCGTGGTTTCCCAACTCATCCCTGACCACTCGTCTCCCAGCAGCGGTGCCCTCGCAGGACTCGGATCTCGTTCCTTTAGTGCTGGTGGATGCTGCAGCTGCTGTGCAGCAGCGTGGCACATGGCGATGTTGCTGGCCATGGCCTCAGCTGCCTGCTGGTCTGTCCCCTCCCTGGCAGCGCTTGGAAGGGCTCTGCACCTCAGCCTGCCATGGCACAGTCTTCTCTGAATGTGTCCTTATCTGTGACAATAAATCAAGCCCATTTGAAGGGCTTTGGTCCCAATAAAAATAAAAAATCTGAACCACTCTTTCCTGCTCATTGTGGGGTTGGCTTGGCTGGGGGGAGGTAGATATGAGAGAGATGCCAGGGATGCTACGGGTTCATATAGCATCCCACCAAAGCATGGGTGGAGGAGTTGGTTTCTGAGCTTGGAAAGAAAAGACCAGCTTTATAAAAGACATACGAAGATGACTAAACCATAAGAAACCCAAAAAGGAGGAGGAGGATGGGGGAAAGTTTCCTTCTGGAGCTGGAGAATGATTCTGGCTGGGAGTTAAAAAATAGCAACATCAAAACTGTGACATGTTGATGCTCCTTCATTGAAGCACAATTTCTTTATCCACCCCAGTGATGCAATGATCCAGTCACATGCTGCCACCAGCATCCCCTCCCCATGGCATGAGACAGCGGAGGCAGGACATGCCGATGCGTTATCTGGAGGAAGAGGAATCGTCCTCGTTAGCTACTGATAGCTCATGTGCAGAAAGATGACTCGTTACTCACAGCTCTGAGGCAGCTCGGGTCAGATGCTGTTTATTAACAGAGAGCCCAGACAGATTCATCAAGTTGACTGAGCACATCGTTAACCAGGGGTCAGCGAGTGGTGTACCTCGCCTGCCAGCACAGCTCCCTCTCGGCGTGACGGATCTGGCACACGGTGAGGGCAGGAGCTGTCCCAGCAGTGGGCCAGCTCGGTCAGGGGGCCAGACCCAGACCCTGCCCTGAGAAAGGCAGAGCCCGGCAGGCTCCAGCACTGCAACCATGGGTTCAAATCCAGCCTGGGCATCTGCAGGTCAGAGCCCAGCCCACCCCTGGTGCCACTTGAGAGCAAAGCCGGACAGTGCCTATGGCTAAAATAGCTCTCTCTGCATCCCCTCTCTGCAGCCCCTCTGCTTTGTCCCCTTCTGCTCCTCATCACCTACTCTCCATGCCCAAGCTGAAGTCCATGGGGTACTGCTGTTCCCAGGAGCTCAGCACCAGCACAGCACTATCCACACCAGACATCGTTTCTACCATCAGAGGGCATTGTGGGATTAATTTTTATCCCAGCTGATGGTCAGGATGATTTATTGAGGTGGTTGGGGTTAGTGATGATGCCACTGGTGTTCAGGACCAGCTGGCAGGTTGAGAGCAGGTCTTCCCCTGGCATGCTCACACCTGGCCTTGGACACTGATGGGGATGTCCTGGCCCCTTTGATGTCCTCGGCATCTCTGCATGTGTCTTTGGCCAGTGGGAGCCTTGGGGAACAGGGGCTGGGAGCTGGCTGCATTAGCCAGAGGTTTGCTAATGCAGGGGAGAAGCAGCATTTCCAAAACTGTGTCATGCTGCACACTGTGCCCTTTCCAGACCCTTAATGCAATCCTATAGGGCAAAGACTGTGTTTGTAACCCCCCAGGGGACCAGGGTGGGTAACAGGATCCACTTTTAGTGAGGTCTCCCCGGGAAAGGTCCAGAGAGCACGGAGTGGAAAAATCCACTAGATGTTTTTTCCTGAAAGCAACATTCATGTGCCTTTTAATTTATGAGCATCCCAGTCATCAGGTTTCTGGGCACCTTAGCAAGGAACAGGCAAAGGCGTCAGTTCCAGGAAAGCAGCCTCTTGCAGAAAGAAGCTGCAAGTGGGAATCAGACCTGTGCTTGGTAACAGCAGCCCTAATCCCAGGCCAAGCTGCTTCTGTGCAAAGGGACCATGGGCACGGGGTAGAGGGGGTTCCTCTCTGCACTAACCTGGGGTTGCAGCATCCTCAGGCACTGCTGATAAAGGAATTGGGGTTCTTCACCTTGAGGAAACTGGGAGGGTGTTCAGGGCCCCTAAATTGTGAAGACACCCAAGGGAAGGATTTGCTCCTCTCCTTGCTATTGCTCTTCTCTTCCGCTCCCGTTTTGCCCAGTGTGGTCTGAGCCAGGAGCCTGGATATGATGATTGAGGCCCTTGCAAAATGAGGGAGTCTGAGCCCCTCATCTCCTCTCTTTTGTCCTCTTCACCTCAGAGAAATGGGGGAACTCCCTCCAGGCTAAACAGAGCTGGCTGCAGCAGTGGGCAGAGGGACACCCAGCAGCCCCATTGCCTGTGCTGCACATGCACAGCTTTGCTCTCTGTAGTCAGCTAATGAGCCACCCATAAATCTCACCCATCCAAGGTCCTTTTCCTCTCTGCAGCCCCTCCCAGCCCCTGCGGGAACTTGCTGCAGTCGTTTTGCCCATTAGTGACGTCCAAGGGGCACGACCCTCCTGGGGCAGGGGAAGGGTCATAGGAAGTGTGTTTCCAATGGGAGACTGGTGAACAGGGGATGCTGATATGAAAATAATCCCAGTTAACTCACATTAACTCTTCCCACCACCTCTTTAGTCCTGGAAGAGATCCTGCCACAGAGCAGGGACTGGCAGCGCGGCTGCCAGCATCCATCAGGACCACAGAGCTGGGTGAGGGTGATGGTCCATCTCCAGACACCCCCTCCTCAAATGTGACCAATAATACACCCTGCCCATGGCTAAACCTGCTGCAGGCATATTGGGGGGTGGGAAAATGCCCCTGTGGCAGGGGCAATGTGACCGACATGGTGGCCTGCAGCCATCCTCCATTTGCTCCTAAATGGGTGCAGGTGCCTCTCTGCTCCCCAGGCCATGGAGGGGGCTGCATTAAACCACAGAGTGTGGTCAAAAGGGTTTGACTGCACAGGGAGAGTGGTGAGAGATGAGACAAACAGGGGCTGGAAGAGACGTGTTACTGCATTTCACAGAAGACAGGCAGGAGAAAAGAGGGAAAATTGACTCAAAGCCAAAGTAGAAGAGAGGAGACACGTGGAGGGGACACAGCTCCCTGAGAGTAGCTCGCAGGGGTGGTGGGTGCTGCTGGGGTCCATAGGGAGCCATCAGGGCAGCCAAGGGTACTTCTTGCAGAGTACTCTGGGGTGATGCTTAAGGGTTTCCTTTCCCATCTACCTACCTCTCTGGTAGGGTGGAGAGTTGGGGACTGACCCTTTCCTCTGTGGGGGTGCTGGGTTCATCATGCTGAGGGTGCTGGCATATGTGGGGGTGCCATGGGATGGCATATCTCTTCCCGTGTCTCAGCCCAGCTCACCTCTCCCTGGCTATGGAGGGGAAAGAAGGGGCTTGACAGCTCCGAGGTTCAGAGCTGCAGAAGTCACATTGCCCTGGGCTCTCCTGGTTCTCTTCCACCAGGACACCCCTTTGCTCAAGCACTCAGGTACCTCCATGGGTCCATGGGCACAGGGGCCAGAGGGTGAGGTGCCCCCAGCATCATCAACTGCCACTCTCCAAGGAGCCAGAGGTCTCCATCAATGGCAGAGGACCTCCTGGGTGTTTTTTATCATTTTATTTTATTTGCATGAAGATAAACTGCGCCTTTGTCTGTACAATTTCTCCTTAAATACTTGGCAACCCTTAAAAAAAAAAAACCAAACAAAAAAAACAAACAGAAAAAAAATAATCAAAGGAACAGTGCAGGCTACAATATCAAAACAGTACGATGCTTGTGAATAAATAACCCCCTGAGGCAGCTGGGGGACACGGCTGTTCGGATTGCACAGGGCTGGTGAACCCAGGCCTCCTGGGTCCTCACGACCCCTTCCCCTGACATCAGGAACAGTGGCCAGATGGGGACCAGGCTGGGCACGGAGGACCCCTCTCTGCTCTCTCCCAGCTCCTAGGTGCCTGGCTCGGCCGTGGTGGTGCTGGTGGTTTTGTTGGTTTTGCAGCAGAAGTACTGGTTCCAGATCTGCAGGAAGGCTGTCCGGAACTTCTTGATCCTGAAGGCGTAGACGATGGGGTTCATGGCCGAGTTGCCGTGGGTGAGGAAGATGGCGATATAGGTGAGGATGTGCGGTGTCTCGCAGGATGGGCAGAACAAGGTGATGCAGTTGAGGACATGCAGAGGGAGCCAACTGAGTGCAAAGAGGAAGAGGACCAGTGCTAATGACTTGGCAATCTTCAGCTCCTTCCCATAATACTTCTGGGGGTCGTTAGAGCTGGAGGAGACCTTCTTGTTGAGTTGCTTGCGGATGAGGTTGAAGACTTCCAGGTAGATGAGCAGCATCAGCAACAGGGGAGGCAGGACCCAAACGAAGAAGTTGAAGTACACCATGTACTCCATGCTGATGACCGTCTCAAACTGGCACTTGATGACAAACTCTGTGTGGCTGGCATTCAGCTCCTGAGTCCTCCGCATCTTGTTCAGGTTGTTCCAGCCAAACATAGGGGTGAGTCCCACCAGAAAGGAGACGATCCAACAGCAAGCGATGGCCACTGCTGCCCTCCGGGGTGTCACCACACTCTTATACCTGTAGAAGAGACAGCAACCACAGGAAAGAATTCAACACAAGCGGGATGCTCTGCCTGGGGGTTAAGACCACTCCACGTGGGGTGGCAGTGCCCATGCTGAGATGGCTTGATGCTTCTCACTCCCTTCCTTGTCAGTCTGTAAGAGCTTGTCCTGATAGATGGGCTAATGGACTTCTTCTCTGCATGTGCCCTGCGAAACCTCACTGTTTCCCACCACCACCCCCTGCCCCAAGGATGGGCAGAGACCTCAGACATGATCCTGGAGCTCTGGGGGTTGATGCCAAGCCAGGAAATGCATTAGCAACCTGGAGCGTGTCTGTGTGTTCAACCCTGATATCTACGGGGGAGTTTCATGTCGCTCTGGCAGCCCACCTTAGATCTGAGCACCCTAAACTGAGAGCACCCTTTCCTCCCACCAGCCCTGCCAGCACCCTGTCGCAGACAATTCCCCTTGTGCCAGGGGAGGAAATCGCCAGCAAAAGCATCCCCTGGGTCTTGCCAGGCAGGAGGAAGGATCTGACAGTGCTAATGGACCCCTGGGGAAGCTTCTGGGCACAGCCTGTTTCACTTCCTAATGTGCTAGGTCGATTGACAAAACCTCTTTCCTAATGGGCCTGTGCCAAATGATGGAGGAGGAGGAGGAGGAGAGCCGTGCTCTGGCCGAGCTCTGATCCCTCCCTGATGCCACCAGGGAGCACACCCGGGGCTGGGCTCATCTCTCCAGAGCTCTCAAAGCGGGAAGTGGAGCCTGCAAATTGATTTTCCCTCCTGGCCCTCAAAGGAAAACTTCTCCTTGGAGCCCCCTACACACACACACCCCCCCAGCTCCTTCCCGCTTTGCAATCCCTGCAAGCTGTGTCCCATCTCCCCACTCCTGGGGGTTTCTAGGCTCTTTTACTGATTTTGCTGATCATCCCAGGTGCTCCCTGCCCTGCAGAGGCTGGGGAGAAAAAGCTTCTGACTATCAGCAGTGCCACTGCAGCCCCCAAACACCCTCTGGGGGCTTGCAGCCAACACCCAGGCACAGAACTGCTCCCAGAGCACCCACCCCTTCTCCTGCCCTCATGCCTGGGTGGGGGGAGCACACAGGACGGGCTGAGCACCGAGACCCCGTTGTTAGTCCTGAACCGGGCTGCGATCAGAGGACGCAGTGTGCGCTCCTGCCGCCAAAGCAGAGGGGCTGGGGAGCGGCTGCAGGGGGCCCAGCCCGGCTGGTCCCGGCCCCCCGCAGCTCCAGAACATTGTGTGTTGTTGCAGATGGCTATCAGGACAGCTGCAGAGGTCGTGCAGACCTCAGGTCCCTGTACGCACACAGCTCGCAGGGTCCAGAGCGTATAACACACAAACAGCAGAACAACGTGCCCCACACGCTGCCGGCTGCTCGTCCACCTCCCCACCTCAGTGCACGGCCCTCCCAGCGCCTCACTGCACATCTGTTCATGGTGCTGCACACCCACCCCTCCTCGCTGCACATCCATCCCTTCTGAATGCCCATCCCTCCCTCGTTAATGCACACCCATCATCTCCGCTGCACATCCATCCCTCTTCGCCTCACACGGATGCCCCCACCCCACTGCACATCCATCCCTCCATCTCTCCACCACGGTCCACATCCATCCCTCCTTTCTGCATATCCATCTCCACCAGCTCGCTGCACATCCCTGGCCTGACACACACAACAGTTCCAGCATCAGGACCTGGCTCTCGCTGCTCCCCACTTCACACCCTGAGGTTTTAGCGTGGCACTGCAAGAGCAGTTGGCAGCTGAGAGAAAAATCCTGTCTGTGTGTCCCCCTGCACATGTGCACCACGGTCACAGGAACCACGGATGAACCCCCAAAATCCATAGAAAACAGCAACATTTGGAGCTGGGGCTTTTGTTCCTTTTGTTCCTTCAAGCAACAAGCCAAGGGCAGAGGCAGTGGCAGCACCCTGCAGGGAAACGTGTTCCCCTGGGGGCTCACGGGTGCCCACTGTCCCCCCTCAGCCCTACCCGGAGAATGACAAAAGCCATAAAATGACTCCGAGTTCCTCCTGTGTCTGACCATGCAGCCCTTGTGGGGTTCAGCTGCTCTGAAGGCTGAAAGCTCTGCTTAAAGGAGGGAAATGCAAGATCCCACATGGCACAGGGCATGGGGGGGGGTGAGGGTGTGCAATTAGCAGAGGGGTCAGGGACAGACTTTGCTGTGTTCCTGTGTTTCTTCCTTGGTTATGCCATAAAGAAAAAGCCTTTCTCATTTACCTCATTTTGCATTAATATGATAGGGCTGGGGTTTGGGATGAGTCTGGGAGGAAGAAGGACTAGAAAACGTTGATAATGGCTCACAATTAATAAATAATCTTATTAGTATCATCATCACTGGAACAATTGCTAGCATCATTGCAATTTTATTACTACTATTATTTTTATTAACAGCTGCGACTAAAACATCCATGATAATAGTCACCACCATCATCATCCAATCTGGGGTTGTCTCCTTTGTCTGTGGGGTTTTAAGCCTGACCATAATTGCTAGATTTTCCTCCTGTCCTCCCTCACTGGTGGTTTTTGCACCATCCCTTCCCCAGAGAGATGGGCATCGCCCCAAGTCCTCCTGGACACCCTGCCAAGGCCAGGAGAAGGGGGCCTGGAGGGAGCATAGCAACCGTCCAGCCTCATTGATATCCTGGTGAAATGGGATGGGCAGGAGCTTTGGTCTGGTGTGGAACAAAAATGGCTTTGAGGGTTTGGAAAATAATGCGAAGAGGCAAAATATCAATTATGGATTGAGTGTTGTTTTTGCATCCCCAGAGGAAGTACAAGAAGTGATGGTTGGAGGTGGAGGCAATCAAATTGTCCCCAAGGGCTGCACAGAGCTAGCGGGGAGACATGGAGCAGGCTCTGCAAGGGAGGGATCCTGCCTTGTGGTGGGATGCTCCAGAAGATGGTGCAGTCAAAGTTTCAAGGGCTGAGGATGGAGTCACTGGGGGAGAAGATATTATCTATGCTCCCCAGACCCTCACCCCAAGGACATTATCCATCTTCCTTTCCCTTTGCTTGTCACTCCCACACTAAATTCAACTTCTCTATCACATTTTGATGGGGCCAGACCTCAGCATCCCTCTCAGCTGCAGCCAAGGGAGCTCAGCTCAGCCCAGAACTTGCTCTTTAGGTGTCTGGCACTGGGTGGGCAAAGCCCCTGTGGCCATCTAACACCAGGACACATTCGAAAACAGAGCAACCTATTCATTGCATTTCTATTGATTTGACTTGTCTTAGGGTCCATCTCCCAAGAGAGAGACAAGGGCTCATTTCCTACATCTCCAACCCACAGGTCAATCCAAATCTAACACTCACACAACATCTCCTCTTGTTTTGGTTGTAAAAGCTTCGATTCCAGGTCTGGTTTGAATGAAATTTGTCTGTTTTTTAGTATTCCTGGGAATATCCTTTTTGTCCAGAAAATACCAGCAGTTGTCCAGGCAGCCCCAAGATGCAGCTTTGCTGGTCCTTGCTCTGGTAGGGCATGTTGCAGTGCAATGCCTGGGGAATTAATTCACTAATGAAGGCAGGCCATCACTAATGAAATGAAGCTGGAGCCGACGTGGTAGGAGGAAAGGAGGCCAAGCTGACATGAAGTTCATCTGCATTATGACTGCAGCAAGGAAAAGCAGCCAGAACATGTCCTGATCTAATTGAAAATCTCTAGACAAAAGTGCTTTGATCTCAGAGGATTTTGGTTTCTGCTCCTTTTTCCTGGCTGTATCATTGCTTCAGATCTTTCAGTGTCCTGGAGGTCACTGGGCGGGAGAACTCAGATGTTGGTGTTCAAAAGGGTGTTCAGAACTGCAAGCTGAGTAATGTGAAGTGGCATCTGAGTTCTGCAAGGGACAGTCTCAGCCACTGCTCAGGGCTGGAATGAAGAGGTCCCTGGGCACCTGCACAAGGTGGGAAGTGCTGCAGAAGGGACACTGTGTGACAGGGGAACCCTGACCATGGCTCCTTTGCCACCTCTAACCCTGGACATGAAAAGTTTATTCCCTCTTCTATCTCTTGCTTTGGCTGTTTCCTCCTTCCCTTCAGATCTCTTTTGGGCTTCATTTAGGTCAAAACCCTAAGCTCAAAATCTTGAAGGTTATCAAGGATTTGGAGGTATATTAAAATGTCTTAAAAGCTCTGTTAGCATTGACATAAATGTCTCTTACCAGCATCCTCCTTGCAACATTTGAGTGCATCTCCTATATGTTCACATCCCTCCTACATGACAGTCGGAAGCTTTGCAGCTCTTTGGGGTCAAACATCAGCTGCTCAGCTGACAGGATCCATCCAACAACTTCAGCGAGTCAGTGCTAGCGATGGGCCCACACTGTCTGCAAACGCTGCTTGAGCTGTGGGACGACTCCCACCACGAAGGAGCATTTCACCCTTTCCTGCATCATCCTGGCGGCTCTCACAGCCAGGACGGGGGTGACAGGGGGCAACGACACAACCGTGGAGCTGATGCGAGAAAACATCTCCTCAGCAGAGGGGTGCTGACACGGTTTCAGTGTGTTGCCCTCATGGCCACATCACTTCTGGTTTCCCACTTCGGAAATGTGGTGTTGTGACTGCTGGTGGGTGTGTTGCCATGTGAGCAGTGGCCTTGGGAGAAACGGATGTCAGCCAACAACAGCCAAAGCTGGTAGCTGGATGGAGCTCTCCACGACAGCCTGTTCCTACAAACGTTTGTAAGGGAGGACACTGGCCCTATCAGCATCTCCTTTGGGATGCACGGGGGATTGTCCTGATCCCAAAATCCCAGACTTGTTGTTTGTCAGATGCCAGCTGGCAAGTAAAGACATGAAGAACTGGTCCAAAACCCATGGAGAGTCTTGCAGATGAGCCAGAAGAGTGTGTCCTTCTGCAGCAAGGACACTGGTGTTGGTTGGTGATGTCCTACACCAAAATAGCCCAGCAGCCTCCATCAGCACTGGAAATACTTTCCACACTGACACTTTCCTACCACAGACACTTTCTAGTGCCCCAAAGGA